CTTGTAGCTTTCTCTTGTATTGTTCAGTTATTTCGAAATCTGATCTCACCTTAACGTTTTACCTTCTTAGCACTCTGGAGTGAGTCTACCTTGGCTGGGCAAGTGTATATGTGTGTGACTATGGTGTTCTTTTCAAAATACACCTTTCTGAAAGCATCATTTGGACAGATTCATTTCAGATCGCATATCCAGCTCAAAGCGAAGTAGGCACATTTTTTTTTTCTGGGCTAGCTCCGTCGTTTCAAGCTTCACTCTTTTCAAAACTATTTTTTTTTCAAATCTACCTTGCACGCTAAAATAAATCGACATTCCGAGCCCAACAGATTGTAGATGGGCTCTAGCCTTTTATTAATATTAATAATAATAACTAATCCTTAACTTTCGCTTTTAAACATCACGGAGGCAAAAAAGAAATCATCCCTGAAAGAATGTTTCTAAAAACGGAAGGAGAAAAACGGGTAAATTGATAAATATGCAAAACTGAAGGGCAGAGAGAGGGGGGGAACAGACAAAGGAAAAGAGGATAGAGAGGAGAAGGAAGATGGGGTGAATAAAATGGAGGCTGGAAGAGGTCAGCTTTGCAATTAGCAGTTCTGCTTACATTTCGAGAAACAGCCCAGGAAGTGTCAAGACCTCAATACAGCTTCCATGTAACTACCAATTTTTCCTTTATTTGTCGGAGCTTCGGTGTAATCTGGGAGGTAAGAAACCCCCAGGGATCGCTGGAAGGGGCAAATACTCTAGATAAAGTGCTGGACAAGACTGTGAAGCCTAAAATAACCTGGGTTTTGTTTTCCTCCTTGTCGCCTTCTTGATGTTGGCTTTAAGAAACGCATAGAAAATAAATAAAGAGTCTGACAGCCTGCTCGGGATATTAATCTGCCTGATAATTCTCTAAATGCCCGAGAGTGAGTTATAATTTGGACGTGAAATTTAATTTGCGTTGGCTGGAGTAATTTATGATATTTCGAATTGATGTTCATACATCAATATCAATCGGGGCAGATTTTTACCACTTAGTAAGATCATCACACATTTAAAACCTGCACAAAATAAAATCGATAGTTTATGCATTTACAGCAGATTGCCTTTCTAGCAACGCCTGCATCCCTCCCAGCGCATGGCAGCCTGCCCTAGACGCGGGCACTTCGCATTACTGGGGGCCAGCCCGAGAACTACCCAGCGCCCCCCCACCCCCAACGCCCACTGACCACCGGCGGGGTGCGGGGGCAGCCGGGGGCTGTGCCGGGAGCCCACAGCGGGGGATGGGAGTGGCTGGCGTCCGCCCTGGAGAAGGCCCCGGCCCGGTGCGTGTGCGCGCCAGAGCCCCATCGATCGGGAATCAGCTCCATGTAAATAGACACGTGTTCCCGAGCTGCCCCTTTGCAGGCCCGAGCCGGCGCTGGGCTTCGCCTCCAGCCAGGCAGGTGCGGGGATCTCCGGCGGATTTCACCTGCCCAGGACCCTCCTCTGTTCGGGGCAGAGGCAGGGGCAGGGGCCAGGGCGGTGCCGCGTCGCACGGTTTCCTGCTCCCCCGGGGTTCCCCACCAGTCCGGCCCCTGGCCGTAATGGGAGCGAGCGACCCCCCCTGCCCGAGCTCTTCCAGGCAGCTGCTGCTTTGCTCTGTCCTGAGCCCGCGGCGATTGTTGCCTCCCCCCGGTGGCAAGATAACCCGGGGGCCTCTCATGGCCCAGGGCTCCAGGTCTATCCCTCCCTATCTCCCCCTGTTCCCCCCAAGGCTCCGAGTCCTTCCTAAGGATTCTCCCCTCCCCTCGGGCAGTGCACCCCCCCCCCAGTGCCCGGGACCGGCTGCAGCCCTGGGTCCGTAAGAATCCGCCCTGCGCCCCCTTCCCAATCCCACTCCGTAGCTGCTGTGCTGGAGACAAGGAGTGGCCCGGCCTGGGGCCCCGGAGGTCAATGCCAGGGCTAGGCGCTGAGCAGACCCCCATTAAGGAGCTGTAGCCCGGGGTCACAAGAGAGGCAGCAAGCCTGGAGCCAAAGAGTGGGTGTCCGGCAGAGCAGCCTGCATAAGGGATAGGAGCTCGAGCAGTGGCAATGAGCACACAACAGAGCCCCGGATAATTAGGAGGCTCAGCCGCTTCCAATCGCCAGCCCCTGCAGGGCCACACGCTAGACAGAAAAGGCACGGTGACTGGCCAGGAGAGGATCCGGATCTATTTTTCAGATCCTAACGGTCTTACAATATTTATAGGGGAGACGCAGGAACTTGTTACAAAGCCGGAAGGATTAAAAAATAAACAGTACAGCCAGAGCCCCGTTCCCTCCCCCAGGTCAGAATAGATGCTGTGTCTCCATGTCCATGTTTGCTTAAATTACCCTTAGGGATGGGGCTCCGTTTCCCTCATGTGCAAATATCCAGCATTCAGGTTGGATTTGAAGGAGAGGGCGGAATAATGAGTCTTTGTCTTCCTAAAGAGATTATGGAGATCCACTTATACCCAGAGCTGTCCTGATGGGGCGGGCTGGAGGAGGAATTGGGTGGGGTAGGGGGTTGATTTGGGGCAGTATCGAACAATGCTGCCTGTTTCTCTGAATCTCTGGAAGTGCGGGGAATAGCTTGTCGATCCTACACTGCAGAAATCGGCCCTGCTGCATGCTCCCAGCTCCCATCTATCTTCTTTTCAGCAGCCCAGCCTGGCTTGGCATAATTTCCTTCCAGATCATGCCAAGAAGGGGGCTCCAACATATTCTAATTCAAGTGGTTGTTTCCAGTATCGATCTATGTAAATAAGTGGAAATTCAGGTCGTCCAAATTGTCCTAAAAATACGCTCCAAATCGAAGTTCGCCCTGTCAGTCGTTCAGGGGAGATCTCAGGCACCAACTCCATCCCTCCCCCCGCCTCCCGCCTGGACAGCCGCAGCAGGACTGGGATTTACCGTTCATGGGGTTTGTTATTGAGAGAGAGAGAATGGGATTTTCTGGCAGATCAGACCTGTGAAACCGACAAGCCCGCCTCATCCGCCCCTCTTTATGTAGAGAGACCATCTCCAGTTTAAGAGATAAAAGATCACTGCTAGACCCACTTTCTAATACGAGTGCAGGCTTCAAAGCCAAGAGAGCATAAGCATAGGAAAAGGAGGCGAGGAATCAAATTTGTAGCCCGTTTGGGGTCTCCGAAGACCCAGGGAGCATTTATTACCGTATTCATTCTACTGTTTAGGAAGAGGCGCAGACCCATTTGTGCACTGGAAAGAGAAGATTTGGCCCTTCCCATTATTTTTGTCTGTGAAACGGATCAGTGACCCTGACTCCAACTCGGATTGACTGTCTCGCATTCTCCAGGGACAAATTAATGGAGACCTATCAGTTAATTAACAAACCTTCACTCAAGGCACCACCATCATATTAAACGCGGGCTCGGTACTATGACTGAGTACAAGTTGGGGATGGGGGACAAAATAGAGAGAGAGACAAACGAAATGGATTGAAATGTTCTTACGCTGCTCGTTCGGGTCACAGCAGACAATACAGCCAGCCATTCCCTAGGAAGAAACTGAACTAGCGAATTATTGCCATGTTAATCCCAGGTGCTATTTCTGTTCGCCACAAGTTACTGAGCCAGTGCATAAATTGTGCATAACACATACTTATTCTCACGTGTATATACAGACGGGAACTATGTAAATTAAAACTCTGTGGACTAATGATACTTGTGATCATTTGCAATTTTGACCAATTCCATTCCTTCTCTTTAGCCACAAGTTACATTCCATAATTGTTTCATTTGTGTCAAAAAGCAAAGTTCTAAAATGCCTGATCGAAATAAGCAGAATAGGAAACTAGCATCTGCTCCCCTTTCAACTTAGCTATTATCTCTTCACCCTTGTCACAAGGCTACTTTTGCTACAAAGTAGATCCACTGAAGTGTATAAAACGATTTATTATGAGGTTTTAGCTTCAATTTCCACAACACTTCACCGAAACATTTACATGGATTCTTTCTTTTTAAAATCTACACAGTCTGGGTTAACAAACCCCACAATTATCAGGTAATAAACCCAGTTACAACACGATCACACAAACAAACATGAATATTTCGCTCTGGGCAGCCTTTTATGATGCTCTTATTTCTTGTACAAGCAAATAAACCCAAACAAACGCGACGAAAACGTAGATGCAAACATATGGGTAACATCATTTAACAGAGAGGTCCTTGAAAAATTGTGAAGCCTCACCTAAGTCTCCACCATTGGGTTTTCCAACACTTCAAGAGTGAGAGAGAGAGACAGTGAGTGTGTGTAAGAGGCAGAGACAGTATACACACAAACACACACACCCCGAATGTTAAGTTTGAAAGCAATTTTATATACAGCTGAGTTCAGTTCTGTGTGCTGGTCAGTTGGCTGTACCTCACATCAGAGGGCATTTGCAAATATACCAATATGGAGATGGACAATAACAGGAAATATCTATCTAATACGGGCCTGATCCGTATTTCATGGGCACTCCAAAATGTCCACTAGCTTTTGCTCCTCTGTGCACCTCCTAGTTGATGTACATATACATGCAATGTTGTGTACAGTTCACAGGTATAAACATGTAGGCGTTACATGTCTATATAGTAAGACTTGACTGGGTAGATTTTGATCCTGTGGGTGTCACAGTACACAGCATGACCCCCCACACCTCTGTTTCTCTCCCCTAGCCCCAGACACGCACACTGGCATCACAGCACCTCACCATCCTAGCATATCATTGTTTAGGAACGGGGACGACGGTGCAAATAAATCAAACGTTCCCCTTTCATGTGAAGGAGCTAGAAGGGAAATCCAGTGGGAATGTCAGACTTGAAAGGGAGAGACATATTGCACTGGAAAGAAACAAAAAATACAAGGTGTGATGTGACCTGTGATATTATGTATCTGCACATACGTATTGGAATGGGCTTTTCCTGGGCAAGCAGCTACACAGCTCTGAGATCCCCGTCTGCCTAGCCCCCCCGCACCCCCCACACATAGCAGTAATCGCTGAGGCTCACCTGCTAGCCTGAGAGCAGACATTCTCTGGAATTCTGGCTCCTGAAGCCACTTCCACATCCTCCGAAAGGTCTCCCGGCCGGATTTGAGTTTGCTCCAGGGCTTGGGGTTCCTCAATAGGTCTGAGAGGGTCCCTTGAGACCGGCACAGCACCCTCTGGGCGAAGATAGCCTGGGGGATGCTGTACCGTTTGAGCTCGGTGGTGATCCTCTGAGCTACTTCTTTGGTATTGATTTCTTCCATTTGCCCTGAATTACTTCCACTGTTGACCTGCGAACCAGTGACAGAAGGGTTTTGTTCCCTGGCAGAGCCCAGAATCTGCCCGTGACTCTGGGCATTCAGGTGGGCATGAGGGTGATGCGGGATCCCATTGATAGGCACCATGCCAGCGGATGTAGGGGTAAGATGTTGGTCCCCATGCCTGCCCAGCATGGCAGGGTGGTGGGCTTCGAATCCGTTCGGGGTGAGCATTTTCTCGGCAGGCATGGGGGCACTGGGGTGAGCGTAATGAGGCAGCCCTTGCTGGGAGTTGTGGATGCCCCCCAGGCCTGATCCAGACAAAGGGGAGAGGCTCTGCCCCATGCCGGTAACATCCTTATGGTAGGGGGTGTAGAGATTGTTCATAGAAGCCAGACCCCGCTCGTCCCTCATGAGGGTGAAGCTGCCACTCACATTCCCAGGGATCCGCTGGTGGTGATGGTGGTGGTGATGGTGGTGGTGATGGTGAGGGAACTTGTCCGAGACGGTGGAGATGGGAGGTAGAGGTTGCAGAGGGGTTAATGTGGTGTAGGTGCTGCTCATGCTCATCCCGGGGGGTGTCTCGCAGGCCATGGTCATGGTGGGATGCAGGGGTCCCGTCAGAGCGTGGTCAGGAGGCCGGTGGTGGTGGTGGTAGTCGCCACCGTCCAGGATGGAAGCCATGCCCATGGAGCGAGGGTGGGCTGGCAAATGATTGCTGCGATGGGCCACCGAGCTCCTGTGATGGGGGCTGCTGCTCATCAGATCGGCCGTGGTTGGCACCGGCTCATGGCTCACCCCGTGCAGATCGCCAATGTTCTCCATCGTCAGCTGCGCGTTCATTGTTATTCGTGCAGGCTTGTGGACACCACATCTATCTGGTCTGTGGTTGGAAAGTCCTAGGAGGTCTTCACGTTGGAGGCATGCAGGATTCCACCCCCAGTGGAAAGGATCAGGCGCTTGGGGCGGGGGGGTTGGTTGGGCTTTCTCTTTTGTGTGATTTATTATTTTTTTTCGTGATGGTTGATCAATTTTAAGGCCCCCGTTCTTTTAAAACAGCCTCAGCAGCCCCAGTAGGTGTCTGGTCGCGTCCCTCGCCATCTCTAGCCATGTCTCTTACTGTTTCAATGTCTTTGGCCACAGCTCCTGCTGCTGCAGCTGCTGCTGCTGGTAGAGAGCAGGCATGCGCGCTGGGGGCCCCATGCACACCCCCTCCCCCTCCTTACACTCACACACACACACTCCTGCCCGTGACATCACCATACATATTAAGGAAGCAGGACCGTCTCTCCTTCCTATCTAAGCCCGGCTCTCTCCGCTCCCAAGCTCCGGAGAAGCCCCTCCCGGGAAGGAGAGAGGGGGGAAAAGCCAGCGCTCAGCCCACAGGCAGCGAGCTGCAAAAGTCTGCATGTCCCCGTCAGCAGATTAGATGGCTGCGTACGGGAAAACGAGAACAACCCCTCGGCTGCGCAGGGCACAAAGGAGCTGTTGGAGCGGGGGCTCTTATGCCTGTCAGAAACAGACCCTGGCCTGGCACACGCGCCCCTGGGCGCTGTAGGCTGTGCCCCCCCCCCAGCTGTTTTGTGTGGCCCTTCACATCGATCGCACCCCTCCCTCCAGCGATCTGACCCTAAGCGCCCCAGCCACCAAGAGAAGCTGGAGGTGAGGAGCAGGGCGAGCTGCAGCTTGGCTCTGGTCTCCCACACCCAGGCCGGTACCAGGACTGCAGGTTGTTCCCCAGGGGCTGGAGGCAGATGTGCTGCTCCCCGGCCGGGGACAGCACCCACAGCGCTTTAACCCGGGATGTAAACGGGACTGTAGATCCCCAGCTTGTTCCGTGCGCTGCAGGCGAGCCCCTCACCCCCGCCCCCAATAACCCATCACCTCCACCCACACGGCAACCTCAGCTGGGCTCGGGAGGGAGGGAGGCTGCTCAGGGTCCGAGCTGCAGAGCGGTGGGTCTCCCTGCCTCTCCCCGTCGCCCTTCCCTCTCGGTGCGGGAGACGCGCGAGAGCTTCCCTGTGTAATTAAAGCGGCCGGTCCCTCCCCTTTGGTGACTTAGCATTTTTAGTGAGCGAGCCTCCTTAAATTGAATTTTAATATTAACTTCCGGGTTTCCTCAAGTCAACACATCAAGGTGAAAAATCGCAGCGTCCCAGCCAGCCAACCAACAAAAGGCAGGCAGCTGCGGGACGCACCGGCAAAGCCGCTCCGCGCTCCCAGTGGCTCCGGGAGTGTGAGCCGCAGCCCGGAGAGCTGGGCTGTTCACACGTGTCCCCTTCGCTCTCCCCCAAGGGAAATACAATGGGAGAGGGAATGGGGGGATGGGGATCGCAACTGGGGGGCCGCAAGGCGACCCCTGGTGAGGCATCTCTGCGCGCCTCGCTCCCTGTTGCCCGCTGCTCTTTGCTTCTCGCTAGGGAAACTTTTATTTTAAGTAGCCGGGAAGACACATTTGGTGACCGTGTTTCATATTATCTACTTTCACTCCCCGATCCCCAGCTCCCCTCCTCCGCTCTCCCCTTCCCATCTTTTCTCCCCCCATTCCTCCGAAGCCCCGCAAGACAAGCAGACTGCAGTTCTCCAGGCGTAGCTCAAATTGGCAGCTTTTCCAGTCCTTGCGACCTGCTGGGACTAAACGGGAGCCGCACTCCCAGACCCCCCCCCCCCCAATCCCTCCCCCTTTCAGGGAATGAGCTCAGAGCGAGTTTGGGGGGAGGGGAGGGGGTAGGGCGGAAAAAATGTCAACTGTCCGGCTTGTGAAAACCGAGCATTTGTAAGGACGCTCCAGCTACCACATGCCGCTGTTTTTTCCAAAGGGGAAGAAAGAAAGAAAAACTTGTTAGCTAAGGTGCTTTTCTAGCGGAAGAAAGGACAGATGTGCCTATTGTTTGTCCATTAACAATAACGAACCAAGCCAGTCAAAATGTGGCTTCTCTCTCCCCAAAGCGAGCCGCGGGAGGGTGGAATTATGACACTCTACATTATATCTGAACCGATCTACGGGGAAATACAACTGATTAGGAGAAGCCAGGCTCGGCTTCGCAATAGTATCTACATAACTGTGCTGGGGTGGAAGAAAATAAAGGGAAGGAAATTAAAATGATTTCCTTCCATGCTATCAGATTAGCTCCCAGCCCTGCTTAGCTGACAAAGGCACCCTCGCATGGTGTATGTTTTTTTTTTCAAACGGGACTTTTTATATTTACTCACTGCACGTAAAAATAATGTATTTAAACATGTCTTCAGCCCCCTGACGTTAACGGGTGTAATGGCCAAGTGAGACGGAGACCTGGGGAGAAGGGTGTTTTATAATGGTGCACACAGCAGCTTCACGCCTGAACTGCTGACAGCACAGTGATTATTTACAAATACATGCAGATTAGAGCAATGCTAAGGCTAAGAATGAGAGTGCTTTCTGGTCAGCCCTCCCTCTCCTGCCCGCCCCAGACTAATGGGTGCTCCTCCGTATCGTCTGTAGTACAATCCCAACCCACGTCTGGTTAATTAAAGCAGGAGTAGCAACCTCAACTAGGAATGTCTTTTCACTTGTGATTTCAGTTATACCGGCGTGGGACCCTGAATTAATGTAGTTTAATAGTCGTACTCAAACTAAAAAAAACCTTTACTCCTAGCTGGGCATATTGTGCCCCTAACATGACTGGCCCCGGTTATGATGCCAAGGTAAATGTGTATGGCCCATTGCAGCGTGTGTCTTCTTGCGAGACACTTCTATCCTATCAGAGATGCCCCATCGCTGGGCTAGAAATAATCATTAGAGGTGCTTGAGCACCTGCAGATCCCATGGAAGATCAGAAGGTCTCTTGCAGTGCAGATTTGTTTGTATCAAGTCCCTTCAAAGCAACGAGATTGTTATGTAATGAGAAGGCTGTTGATCTAAAATGTATTCAGTGTCAAGTAGTTCCCAGCATTTTGGTCGCAGGAGTAATGTATATGAATACGATACTTCTGTTATCTTCAAAACAGATCTTTTGATCTGACATGATGTCAATAGAACCATTACAATACAGTTCTTACCATGAAATCAGTGAGCGTTTTACAGCAAAAATAAATATACGATGTGTATCAACCCATGGATGCGATTTTGTGTAGCCAGAACATGTGGTAATAACATGTTGCTTCCTCAGATTTCCAGGGCTAATCTAAGAAATTTGGAATAATGTGTCAAAGGGTCATCTAGCAATTTCTGTATTACACCACTGCTCTTTATGAATTCTTAGACCCTCGGAGTCACATATGTTATTTTGAGAAAACATTCCCCCCAACCCCCAGTGGGTTGCTTAGATAGTCTCCCTGTCAATGCAGATTCATCCCTGATTGATGTTTACTAGCGCTCCCAGTTCATTCATCCTTCAGAAACTGCATACCAACAGGACCACAAGCTTTCTACATTTGTTATGGCGATATCCTGAAAGGAGTTTGGTTGACCCAAAAGACGCAGATTTAGCTAGATGCATCCATTACTCAAATGTTTCCATCTGAAACAGGAGACTCTGTTATAACGTATCTATGGTGGATAGCTGTGTTCTAACCTGGCAAAACGAAGCTGTCTAGATAGAATTGTTGGGCAAATCGTTGGTCCTTCTCTTGTTCAAAGTACACTTCACTGGGTACATAGGTTTGTAATAGTAGCAATGACTGAAATTTGCCCTCATCCTTTCCTATCCACCCGTGATATGCATCACAGCAAAGGCTCTTTTATATTGTGAAATCTTGACGTTACCTCTCAGTTATAAACAGCCAGTCTTTGGCTACCAATATCAATGCAATCAAGCCAGTCTCACAAATATTCTGAGGTCATGTGAAGACAGAAATAGGGGTGAACCCAGAACAAAATAAGCCACCCCTCTTTTGAAGCGACTTGAAAAGTAAATTATAGGATCATTTGGAAATGTCTCCTGCTAGAACTTTATTACAAGGGTTTTGTGGAAATTTTCTCCCGCAAACATTTTGTAAACAACTGTGGAAAATGGTGTATTTAGAATCAAATGTGGACCATATTAATTAAGATGAAAACAAACCCACTTGCTAAACAAATATTAAGCATATTTGATAAAATCTTTCATACGGTATTCCTAGAAAAGAACCTTCTACTACCTTTATGGTGCATATTTTGTGAACAAGGAGTCACCGTAGGTTTGTGGTGTTTGATCTTTAGACCAAATCCTTGGCCAAAACAAAGGAAAATGATCTGACCTTTCATTTGCTATTCTGAAAGTACTGTAGGAAGCCGGTGGAAAAGAGGGTGCCTAGAAAATAAAAGGGGGTGATGCTCCAATAAGGTAAATCGCTCAGTGTTCCTGCAGGCACGTCAAAATTTTCAAGCAAGAATAAAGCACAAGACGATAATAAAACAAAGTAGCTAGAAACACATATAGGACAATAGTCAAGTATCAGGGGGTAGCCGTGTTAGTCTGTATCTACAAAAACAACAAGGAGTCTGGTGGCACCTTAAAGACTAACAGATTTATTTGGGCATAAGCTTTCGTGGGTAAAAACCTCACTTCTTCACTGCATCTGAAGAAGTTAGTCTTTAAGGTGCCACCAGACTCCTTGTTGTGTTTATATAGGACAATGTTCTGCACGTACATAGAGCTGTTCCTCTGTACAGCTCGAAGGGCTTTACAGAGGTGAGCAAGCTTTATTATCCCCATATTACAAAGGAGGGAACTAATGCCCAAAGCACAGGCAGAGCTGAGACTAGAAACCAGGCCTCCGGACTCCCAGTCTGGGACCCCCACTGCAGGCCCAAGGCTGTCCCCCAAAGCTGACCCCTAATTTAACCGTAATCAAATAAAGCCAGCAATATTGAACGGATCTAACGGACATAGCCAGCAACAGGACTTTAACATAAGCAACCTACTGGCTCCCCTGCAGAAGCAGAATGAGGGTGAAATCCTGGCCCCGGACTGCAATGGGGCCAGCGTTTCACCCAAAGGCGTGGAATGGAACAGCTCCCTGCTCTGGGCTGCAGGGGGCAGAAGCTGGTGCTCAGACTCAGACGTTGGCCTGCAGGTGATTTACCCGCCACACTGGCATGAAGGGGTAAAACTACTCTCCCAGCTGGGACACTCCAGAGCCAAGCACCGCCTCAAAGCCCTGCAGCAGCCTTAACACGGGGGCCCTCCAGGGGACTGGCTTTATTCTCCTGTGAGAGAGGGTGGCTGGGCGGATGGAAACGCGCTGGGGAAGGGAGGACAGATGAAGGGTGTTTTCTGGCTTGCAGGCTCCTTCCTTCATCTCCCTCTTTTATCCTTTCCTTCTGTTCTAGCTGCCCGGAGTCTGTCCGCTGCGCTGTATTTCCTCTCGCTCTCCCCTACCGCCGCCCTTTCCTTGGCGCCATCTCCCTGTTTGCCGGAGTGCAAACGACCCCGTCCCATCCTCACGCTTTGCTCCTCTTCCCTGCTCAGCTCCCCGCGACCCCTCGCCATTCGCCCTGCTCCTGCGGTGCCCCTCGCTCCATTGTCTCCTCCTCTAGCCCGCCTGGTCTTGTTCTCCTTCCTACAGCCCCCCGCGC